TTCCCACTAATCTAGTATTTCATATATATATATATATATATATATATATATATATATAATAAAAACATTATTTTTAGTGGATACACGTGCTTAAGTTACTAGCCCTGTTTTATTTTTCTTAAACAGAGAAATTTATATCAATCAAACAAGACCAAGAAGTCATTAACAATAAATTGTCTCCCAACAGGAGTCAAACTTGTATCTCATTTCCGCCTCAGGGAACCACACATTTAAGGAACCACACATTTCTCATTGGGACTTCTGTTAATCTTTATTGGCTGGGTTCATTTTCATACTCAAAATTCAGTCTATCAACATGATCTCCCATGGCCAAATTGGTAGGGGCACATAGGATTTGTTTCCCTAATTGATTGGAAAAAAAGAGATACAGGTTCAATTCCTGTCAGGAGGCTCAGATTTTTTTGAGTAGGAAATCTTGATCTCAGCTAGTTATTAATTTTGTTTTCTAAGAAAAATGAAAACTGAAATATATACTCAATCAGGTGCCCCCAGTAAAAAATAACAGTAATAAGAAATAATATCAGATTAAAAACTCTGTTTCAAATATATCAAATTTGAAATTGATAGTTATATAATTGGGCAGAAACCTTTCTTTCAAACATATTTCATTGAATATGAGAGACAAGGAAAAATTAGTGAATTTCATATTGAGTTTTAGTATTCTTAAATTTTTCAGTTTGGTGGAGTTAAAGGAGTGTAAAAATTGTCGCCAGTGTCTTATTGTCCCAAACGTTTTTGGCCACTTCTTAAGCCATTTTCAAGGGGTTTGTTGTTAATTTCTTTTCACGGTTGTCTTTTAAGAGGTAGCTGTGTGATGCCAATTGAATGGTTGTAGTGTTTTTTCAGAGCCCCAGGAAAAGGAATGTGGATGGAATTTGAGTTGGTGTCCTTCTATTTTACAAAAAACTTTACCATATTATTTCCATTCTTAAATAACATGAGATTAATACTGTGTGACAGATGTTTTATATTCAGTGCTTCTCATGCCATCTCATATATATATATATATATATATATATATATATATATAGTCTTAAGGTGTGCTATATTTATAGGATAAAGTGCTCAATATCAGAGATAGAACGTGTGTAAATATAAAAGTGAAGTCTGTTTCATGCTATGTTCACTTTATATATATATATACACACACACACACACACACACACACACACACACACACACACACACACACACACAGTCATTGCATGAATGAAATTAACTTTTTTTTGGTATCTGTCTATATTTCTGAGATGAAGTATTATGTACACTATTTACATTATTGTCCTTAAGGACACATGGCACAGTGGATAATGGCGTTGGTTAGATCCAGTGACAGGACCCAAAGAGTTGTGAGTTCAATACCTGGTTAAGGCAGTGGAGAAGTTGGAGAGGGGAATTAACAGGACATAACTGATAACCATTAGACATGGCACATGGAACTAGAACAGTCTACCGCAGAAAGCGAAATAAAGGGTTTAGTTTGACATTTCAACCACCTGAAGAAGGCCAGAGCATACAACAGCCGAAACATTGTAATAAATATGGCAATAAAGATGAGGACAATAGTCCAAATAATGTAAATAGTGTAACTTTTTTTTTTATCTGTAATTTTTATCATATAATATGTGATCAGTAGAGAAGTGTTGGATTAAGTGCACTGACAAAGATTGTCTGAAATATTTGTTGCATTATTTTTTTTTCTTTAGTTTTTCAGATTTCTTTGGCTTTAATTTTGATTTCTGTTAATATTCTTTTATAAGACATTTGCAAAATGACAGTAATAATCTTACTAACAGCAAAATTGCTAATGTGAATAATTGGACTCCTTTTCATTTTGTTTGTTCTGTTCATTGCAGACTCGTTGAACAACACTGATGATGAGTTGGTGCTCAAATGTGTCCACTGTAGCGAGTCTTTCAACCGGACATCTGCCCTCCGCACCCACATAAAGACTATGCACTCAGAAAAGACCTTGAAATTCATGTGTCCAAAATGTGAAGAAACATTCACGCTCAAATCCCATCTTGACAATCACATGGCACTGCACTCGGCCACGTCACAGACATGCAACGTCTGCAAGAAGACTTTTGCCAATGTGTACAGGCTGCAACGCCATATGATCAGTCATGATGAGAGCACAGACCTTCGCAAATTCAAGTGTGAGCAATGTGGCAAAGCATTCAAGTTCAAACATCACTTGAAGGAACACATTCGCATCCACTCTGGGGAGAAGCCTTTTGAATGTTCCAACTGTCGGAAACGGTTCAGCCACTCAGGATCCTATAGCAGCCACATGACCTCCAAGAAATGCTGGGTCATGAACGTCAAAGGGCGTCGTATTGATAACAACAGCAACACCGATGCAATGTCCGTGTTTCCACCAGTCACAAAAAAACGGGCACAGCCAGCCAAATCTTCCTTTACAAAACTCCTCAGGCACCCTCCCTCCACAATTCATCCAGTTTGATCACCCCACTTCTGGCCTTCCAACATTCTACGCCACACACATCAACGGAAATTCCCCATTCATGTCTTATTCTGTCTATTCCCAAAAGGAGAGCGTCACAGACAGAGTTCCACCAGTCACCAATCAGACTGTTGCTCATTCAAATTCCCACAAATCAGTGCTTGGCCAAAAGCCACCACCACCACCACCTCTCCCTAAAAGTTCTAAACTCTCACCTGATGTCAACAGCAACACACAGCCTTTATCAATGGTCATGGTCAAAAAGTCTGAAAGCCCTGTCCTGCCTGTACCACAGCCGACCCAACAGGATCAAGTGACCTCGCCCTCCCCTGTTACCATCAAAACAGAACCCTTAGACCCGAGTGAGGTTTCGAAAGACATAGTTGTTGTCAAGAGTGAAGACTCCAAAGACTGTCTTTTGACTTCAACACCACAGGAAAAAAATTCTGACTCGCCCATATTGCCTCCCTCCAACTCGATTGATTCCAAGGACGTGGATCTCACCTGCCGATTCTGTGCATCTGGTTTCCGCAGCCCTGTGGATCTGCACCAACATGAACGATACCTGTGCAAGTCAAACAAAGACATCGTGCATAGGGTGGCCAATCTGGAAGTAGCCTCCTGTAACAGTCCAAGCAGCACAACTTCGTCTTCAGATACCATCAAGCGGGAGACCCCCAACGGCAGTATCGGCAACGGCACAGATGAGGATGATGCTGAGGAGATCTTCAAAGAAGAGAACCTCGATAAGAAATTTCGCATGCGTTCCTTGATAAGCGACGAGCAGCTGCAAGTCCTCAAAAAATATTACCAGATAAATCCTCGACCGCGCAAGCACGACCTGATCAAGATCGGCAACGAGATTGGCTTTCCTAAGCGTGTCGTTCAGGTGTGGTTTCAGAATATGCGAGCCCGCGACCGCAAGAAAGGCAAGAGTGTACCCTACTTCCCGTCAATGGCCCGCTTCAAGCAGCAGGAGGAGTCAAGCACTCCGACGTCAACCTGGAAAGAACCAGTGAAGCCAGCCAATTCCGCCTACATCCCCAATGTTCCAAACTTCAATAATTCTGTCCATGTTCAATCTGGAATTCCAAAGTCATCATCACCTTCATTTCCTGCACATTCTCATTCAAAAGTCAATGGTCAGTTTAATGCTGCCAGCGAAAACCGAGATGCCTTGTTTAGTCATAACAGTGACAGCAGTAATAATAGTAGTCAGGACCAGCCCCTGGATCTTAGTCTAAAGAGAGAGCCCCCTAAAGCTCACAGCGGACACAAACCAAGCAACAATAATAACAGTTATAGCACTCATCCACTTCCTGCACCGGTTCAGAACTTTGACAATCAAGTGTTAAATTTGAGTTGTCGATTGCCAGCAATTAAGCAGGAACAGTTGGAGAGTAGCAAGTCGTCCCCAGGCAGTTTCCAGGAGTCCGCTCTCTACAAATACATGAAACAAGAGGGCATGATAGTCAATAAACCAGTCCAAGTTTCCCAATCTAGTCCCATTCCAAACCAGGTGCCTCAGTCCCTGAAGGCACTTGCTGCCTCAAGCCCTTATCTACCGGCCGGAAAGCCAACTGCAGGTGCTGAAAGTGACCCCAAACAGAAGGCAGGTCACAGTAAAGAGAATAAGCCTGCTGATGATTCGTCTTTGTCCAGTGACGACTCTTTGGATAGCGTTAATGGTCGCTCGCTTGTTATTGATGAAAGTAAGTTGCATGAGAAAAGCGACGACGAATGCCTTTCAGATGAAGATGATGACGATTCTGATGATGATGACGACGATGAAATGTCTCCCCGAATGACCAATGGGATATCAGATGGTGGTCACAACACATCAAATGCCAGTATGGGTGTCATGAGTGGGGAAGAGCAAGAGACCAACCCTGATGGTACCAAGAAACCAAAGAGGTTACGAAAGAAATCTTGGAGACAGGTAAGTTTTTTCATAGCTTCTCTTATGTTAATGATGATTGTCTGGTTGAGCGTGTCTTTGGTACAGACTTGTTGCATTCTTGGCCAGTTCTCACAAATTTGTCATTTTGATATTGCATCTGGTGACAAGAGGCAACTAAGTCTTGTCAGAAATTGTCTTGCAAACACTGTAGTCATGGCTTTAGACTGGTGATCAAAATTGACTTTGTAGTAAAGAAAATGTACTTAATGTTGCAATTCCATTCTTCTGTGTCTATAGTTGTAATTAAATATACATATAACTTCAAATAGATTTTAAAGGCAACATTTACACGTTAAGTAGGAGTCAATAGGTTTGTCTATCACCTGGTTCACACTCTTTCCCCATCTTTTGAACAGGAGTAGAGGTTTATCCTTTGTTTCCTGTGTAGAAATGGGTTTCCTTTTCCTTCTAAAGTCTTTTCATTATCTTTCAGTAACCCCTTGCGTCTTAGTGACATTATCACCTTGCTTGGGGTGAAATCATTAAAGAAAAATTAATAATTGAAGAAAAAGATTTTTGCCCTACTTAAGCGTATCCAAATTATCTGTTTAAATCGACTTGGTGTCCGCTTACTTTTGAGTCTGAAGTTCAGTTGAAGCCCTGATAGCAAATGTTTTAAAGACCGAATGAGAATCAATACTTTTTCATTATGTTACTACTCATTCAAATCTGATGGCCGAATATATTAAAGACGAATCTATACCTTTTGTCCTGTGTCGTTCTTGATTGCATTTTAAAAATCGGTCTTTTTGGAAATGCCACTCTTTCTTCATACTATTGCTGCAAACTGTACTTCTGACTTTAGTTTGTTGAAGAGGTCTTGTCTGGAAGCCTAATAGCTCATTACCAACCTAGTATTTTTTATGCCTTGATATCCAGCCACATGTGGCAACACTAGTTTGGCTTGAATTCAAATCTGTTAAGACCAATAAAATTAGCTCTGTTCATTTGATGCATGTAAGTGAATCAATAAGTCACTCACTTGATATGTAGTTAATAGCTGGAATATGTTCTGAAATTTTCACTGTATAATGCTGAATCTGTGACTTATATTCACCATTGAATTAAGTGCATTGACAAGGGAGTTGATTATGCTGAAAAAAAAATTTGTTGTGTAAAATAAATACTTTTTCTTTTTGACTTTTTACATTAAGCTACACACTTAATTGATGCACCTGTATAAATAAACCACAAAAGAAAAAATAGTTATGAAATGTATTTCACTTGAAGAACAATTACTATTAATTTATTTTTATTTTTTTTGTTTTTATAAGTTTATTTTTTTTTATTTTATTTTTTTTGCATGTCAGTATTTTACCTTGGTTTATGAAACCCTTCTTTTTAGCTTTCTAATTTTATTTTATAAAACCCTCCTTGTACCCTTTTTTTTTTTCTTTTTTTTTTTTTTTTTTTTATTAACCCTACTAAGACTAACCCCCTTTTTGTAGTTGTTTTTGTTTCTTAAAACCTTCCGGCATTTTGTCTTCTTTGATTTTGTCCACCAGATGGAAGCGGAAGAAATTCAACTGGACCTTGAAGACTCTATCACTGGGGACGAGGACCATTCCCATCGGAAAAAGCGTCGATCATGGAAGAGCCACCGAGTGGATGTTGAAGAAGGCATGTATGCTTGTGACCAGTGTGATAAAATGTTTAGCAAGCAAAGTTCTCTTGCCAGACATAAGTATGAACATTCAGGTAAGCGAAACCGTTTGCTCACCATTCTTTCTTTTTTTTTTTTCTTTTTTTTTTTTTTTTTTTTCCTTTTTTTTTCCTTTCTTTTTTTTTTTCTTTTTTTTTTTTTTTTCTTTTTTCCTTTCTTTTTTTTTTCCTTTCTTTTTTTTTTCCTTTTTTTTTTCCTTTCTTTTTTTTTTCCTTTCTTTTTTTTTCTTTCTTTTTTTTTCCTTTCTTTTTTTTTTTTTTCTTTTTTTTTTCTTTCTTTTTTTTTTTTTTTTTTTTTTTTTTTCTTTTTTTTCCTAATCAAGATGCTAAGACCTCAAGAACATCTTGATAATGATTCCACCAATAGAATTCTAAGACTTCTCTGGCAACATCAAGAAAATGATTCAACCCAGATGTGGTAGGGAACACAATTTTCTTAACTGCCATCAACAGCTTAGTGAAAATTGGGTTTTGAGGAGATGGCAGATTTTGCTGCTATTGTCGAAGAATTAAAGAGAATAGGAGTGCTTTGACAAATCACTCAGCCGTAATTATTTTTGTCAGCCATCCAGGTATTCCAGAGAGAAGACTTGCACTGTGGTGATGGGCAAGATCAAAAGGAATTGGATTTCTGCCATTCTAGAGACCATTAACAGAATGTGGACACAAGCAGTTTCAACCAAAATTCAGATTCTTTTTCTCCATTTCATTACCCAAAATTCTAACCCCCATGGTTCCCTGCACTTTTTAAGACACAATTACAAATTTTATTAAATATACATTCCAATTACTATCTCCATCCTATAATAGTTATATTTGCATACAAATTTTCATACACTAAATGTTACAATGTTTATTGGACATTGGTAGGAGTATTCTTTTTCCTTTGAAATTTCAAGGAGCTTACAATCCTTTCTTAACGGAAACCAGTTGGGTGAAGCCATATACCAATTTGGCAAGCTTGGCTTTAATCAGCTGACTCTGAAAGCCTTTTTTAAGGCTCAAAAACCAACATTTTACCTTCTTGGTAAAATTGAGCCACAACTCTACCAAAAAGAAGACAAAAGTGCAGGCAAATGTCCTTGACATTTTGCATCTGAAACAGTTTATGAATTTTTAAATTCATATTAGAAGCTACTTGTATATTTTTTATTAAAGAATGCTTGTTAACCTAGTAGACTCTACCTTGGAGTGTAAGGCCACAGCCTAAGAATTATGAGTGTTACGGCTGTTGAGGTTTCCAGAGCAAATAGGGTTTTTGGAGGGTGAAGGGGGTTGGTTACAGGGTGGAGCATTATTTAATTAATACTGTCTAAAAACTGATTTAAGTGGATAATTTTGTAGGACCTGCTGCTCCTCTTAAAATCCTTGCTTTGTTTCATCATTTCTCCAGTGGCATTATCATGATTCTTTTCTGACTGACTGCTTCTCGTACTGAAGGTAATTTTCTTGAACTACAGTCCTGAATTTTGACTTCTGGTTAGACACCTGTTACTTCCATTACCCTTTAGATATCTTCTTTTTTTTCTTTTTTTTTTTTTTTTTTTTTAAGTCATAAAAACCCTCAGAAGTCTAGCATGTTTGTTACTTTATTTTTCCACTAATCCATTTTTTTTTTTTTTTTTTTGCCAAACATCTTTAGACATCATACATCTGTGTTTATTTTAAGGTCATCTTGAATTGATTAATTATGGGGTTCTTCCTAACTGAAATAATTACTGTGACTATTGAACAAAACAAAGTAGGATGTGGTGCTTTCCCCCCCCCCCCTTTCATTGTTTCTTTTAGATTTAAATTAAAATGGGAAAAAAATTTTTAATGAATCTTCAGCAGTTTGACAGGTTTTATTTTAAAATAATGATTTCCTTTAACTTCATTTATTTTTTTTTTTTTCAAATCCTGTTAAACATAGAAATGTGAGATTCACTTTCATTAGAAAAAAAACTGCTTTCTGTCTATCTTTACCCCTGCTGAATAAGTGATGAAACTATTTATAACTGTGTTGTAACCTATAGAAGGTTACTGAATAGAATAATCACATGAAGATTGGTAATGAATGATAATACTTAGAACAAGAACAACACATATAAGATTCACCAGCAGCATGTAGAAGTAGTAGTCAACTGCTAGAAGTGAGTCAAGTGAATTCCACAATGAATCTCCATCTGCAGGATATCTACCAACCACCCCACATGTTCAGATGAAGCACAAGGCCGAATTTAATGTAAGGTATCAAAAATTCCCCTTAGACCCCATATAAAACAGGGTCAGGTAGCTATTTCCCGATATGAGACTCTGCCCAGAGATGAGACAGATCTTCAACTGCAGACTAATATACAGTATTTACCACTGTAATCCATTATCATCCGTGGCTATGTTACAACAAACTGCTTCCAATATTTATATCTTTTAGGCTAAGTGGGAAAATTGCTTAATATTTCAAAATAATCACAGGTCTTATTTTGTCACAAGGAACTTGAATTTAAAATATTTGGTTGTTTGTATCAATGATAGGATTTTGTTTTTATTACACCCAAGACAGTTCTTTTGGCAATGCTCACAAAAGTTGTATTCACAGTGAAATCAGCAAAAAGAATTTAATTCTCAATTATTAGAAATGAAAATCTAAAATGGTAAATTCTGGAGATAAAATCTCTCTTTTCTCTCAGTGATATGGCATTATTTCCTGACCACTTACAATCATTCGCCTTATGATTTTTAATACAAGATACTTCTACAAAATCATACATATAACAGACTTATTCTCTCTCTAGCATTTCTCTTCATTCCTGAATGATGAAACTTGTTGATACAAATTTGAGGTCAAAAATTGTACAATTCTGTGGCTAAATCTTCAAGTTTCACTTGTAAGTGCAAATGTTGCACTGTTGGCCTTTTCCCTTAATTTACCAATTTGAGATGAATACAAAAAAAAATATATCCTCCCTACATTGCAGGCATGTTTCTGAAGTCAGTATTTTTTATCAAAATTTTCTAACAGAACATTGAAAACTAATCAACAGAACTATTCTATCTGTTGAAACACAATTTACTAACAGGAATACCAGGTGCTGTAAGCTTGGATGTGCAGGTGGTGCAATGGATAGGAGTTTGGAATTGGAGAGCAGAGTTCCAATTCCAGTCAGGTTCATTCTATTCACTTACCCACTAATACCTTTGGGAATGGTATGAATCCACCTCTTCTCCCCCCACCCCAGTTATGGTTTAATTCATAAGACTTGTTTCAATAAAATCATTATCTCCAAAAAATTCTTAAAAATCTAAAAATATTTCTAGTTTTAAATAATCTGTGAAAGGTTTATAAGCCATAAAAAAAAAAAAAAATGTACTAATTTGCCTAATTTCTAGCAAAGAGGCCTTTTAAAATTAGTTGTTTAGACTTAGTTTACAGAGAGATATTTATTTTATATATATATATATATATATATATATATATATATATATATATATATATAAATCCTGTCTTTGATATTACAATTTCCATGGGCAGTTTATATGATGATAAACTGGGTTTTGTCTTATTTGCTTTGTTGACTACCTTCAAAACTACTGGATAGCTCTGTTTAGTTGTTCTTTAAGTGTGGCTTTGTGTGCGCGCCTTTGTTTGCTAATCATTAATTTGTCTTTGTTTTTTCTCTTTTATTTTCAGGGGCTCGCCCCTTTACCTGTGATGAGTGTCCGAAGGCCTTCAAGCACAAACATCACTTAACAGAACACAAACGTCTTCACAGCGGCGAAAAACCATTCCAATGCAAAAAATGTGCAAAGAGATTCAGCCATTCTGGTTCTTATAGCCAACACATGAATCATCGCTACAAATACTGCAAGCCTGCTAAGCTTCTTGATGAGGAGGAAGCTAACAATGATGAGTGAATGAATAAAAATTGACAAGGATATGAAAAAAAAAAATTAAAAAAAAAAAAAATTATATATAATGAAAAAAAAATTACAGATCCCCTCCACACACACACACACACACACACACACACACACACACACAAAAAAAATTATAGACCCCACCACCACCACCACCACAAAAAAATATATCAGGTTGACCAAGATGTGACTTCTATTTTTCTCTTTCTGCAGCTGAATGGGAAAGAAAAAAACTAAAAGACTCATGGAGGAAGAAGAAAAAGAAAAAAAAATATGAAGGAAGGAAAGACTGAAGTGTTGGGAAGGTCGGGGGTGGGGGTACAATTCTTTTGCACCTGGATTCTACAGAAGAAAACTAATTTGGACAAGATACACTGAGGTATATAAATCAAAAAAATAAAATAAAAAAAAAACACAAAGTTTCTGGTTAAAAAAAAAAAAAATCTGAAACTTCATCCCCTTTGTCATCTTCTGATCCAAAATGTTGACAAACTTTTCTCATCAACAAAAACAATTTAAACAAAAATACAGAAAAATGAAAAAAGAACAATTTTTGAATGGCCTGATATAGCAAAGAAGTTCACATTTAACTTTCATTTCATCCTGTATGTGCAAATGTATGTATGCATCATATATATATATATATATATATATGCACACACACATGCACATTTGCATATATACTATAAACCTAGTATGGGCTATGGTTTTGAATTTTTTTTCTTTAAGTGATTGACTGATGTGAACCCATTTGTTTTGTAACTAATACAAATTAGTTAAATTGATGGAATTTCTGCTCCCTCTCTCTCTCTCTCTCTTCCCTGTCTTTCTCTAAAGCAATATAAAAAAAAACTCAAGTGAATATAAAGTCTATACAAAATACATATAAGAAGTATATAAGAAATCTGAGTGAATGTTGATGAAAGAAACAAAAAAAAAAGTCTATCATAAATGAATATGATCGTCAAGAAAGTCCTTTTACAGAACCCTCAGCTCAAGATTATGAATGCCTGTCAATATGTGTGGCTTGTCTCTCTCATTCTTTTTTTTTTTCCAACTCGGGATGACTGAACTAGTGTTAATTCTGGAAATGAAAAGCAGAAAATTTTTTTTTTTAAGAGGATAATATTGATGCTAAAAAGGAACATTACAATGCAACACAGTTTATTTTTAATTTGGTGGGGGGAGGTGTTTTTTTTTTGTTTTTTTTTTTTTGTTAGTGCTATTTTTTATATTTTTTGTTTAAACTGTCTTCCATCAAGCATATATGTTAAAAATGTTATATATCTTAACATCGTACACATCTTCCAGGAAACCAAAGTTTAAAAGAATAAATAAACTATAAAAATCTATTTACACTTTTTTCCAAAATAGATTTTTAAAAAGAAAATGGTTAAAATTCCAAAATTACTTTTAAAACATTTTTTTTTTTTTTTTAATTTACTTAATTCAATCAATGATTCTGAATCTTCATATTTTTTTAAACACAAATTCAAGTGAAGTTATTTTTTTTTTTTTTTTTTTCTTATGGATGTCATGAAAGGATTTGCTTCTAGTTCTGCTTGTAATGGATTTTAAAAACCAAAACGATCCATCTTTTTATCTGGCCAGAATTCTGTACTACTTTTATTGCATGGGCTTCAATCTCAAACGGTAGCACGGGCATGAAGCATTTCAGGTGGAAAGGATCAAATCTTGACAGACTAATCTTTAGATATTGTTTAAAATGTTCACAAAAGACACCAGTGTCTGTTAGTAAAACACTTTATAAAGCCTTATCATTTTTCAGACACAACACATTAAGGCTGGGGTTGCCACATTCGTATATGGCTCTTCCGGACTCATTTCTGTTAAGAAACGATGGAAATTCTTTAAAAGTAATCTTCATATTTGTCATGTTAAAAATCTTACCCTTGTGACTTTCTCTCAAATTTTTCTTTTTTTTTTTTCTTTTTTTTTTTTCTTTACGCTGGAAAACAAACATTTTAGCTGTATTTCACTTGTAGTGAATTTGAAAAAAAAAAATAGATTCAAAGAAATTTTTTCTTTAAGGAAAGAACATGTAGCCGCATGTTTTTGTTTTAATTTTCCTCTTTTTTTTATTATTACATTATAGTCATGTAATTCTGCATATTTAACCTTTTTTTTTTTTTTTTTTTTTTTTTTGCATCTGTGTATATTTGTCACAGTTTTTACGTAACACCACATTTCCTTTTTATTTCCTGCCATTTGACCAACCTGACATTGCACATTTCATCTCTTGTCTCCGATTTTATATCTTGAGACATGACAAATCAAAAAACTTCAGTGTTGCACTTGGTTGAACTACGGCTTTTTCCTCGCTTCTTTTAATTGTCTTTAATTACTTCTTTTTTCTTTTGTTTTTAATCTACAAATTAATGTTTAGCTAATTTCAATGCTACTTTCATTTTCCCACTAAAAATTTAACATAAGTTTGTCAGAAAATAGTCTTTAACCAGCTCCATGAAACTTAACAACTAAATTGAATTAGATTCAAATATCCTCTAAAATTTAATGAGTAAAGGCAGTGGCAATTTTATATTTTCAAACTCTTTACTCCCCCCCCCGCCTTTTTTTTATCTTTCTGCCTGAGACACAAAAGATTTACATTCTTCCCTCTTTAATATCTAAAAACTTTTGTCAAATGACGCTTTTACAACATTAACCACATTTCAGTATTTGGCTTTTGAATGTTTTCAATGAACAGCAGCAATTTTAAATCTCTGTGCCTGATAAAACAATTTTTTTTTTTTCTAATACTTATAAAATCTAGATGAAACTGAAGTGTTTTATTCACTTGTCCATTCCTGTTGTTTCATAGTCCTTCCCCCCCCTCTCCCCATCCAATCCCAAAACGGATTTTAAAAATATGTAAAAGATCTTTTGCCATTCCAAACCTAGGTCATGTAATATTTTTACTCAATTCTACTTATTATCTTTATATCATTTGAAATAAAACGGACAGAAATTATTTTATTTTTTTAAATCTTCTAATTTATAAATTTTATTTCTTACTTTGGATGTAGAACTTGCACTAGATGTCCTCGTTGCAAATTTAAACTTTACGAAACTATCAATTTTTGGCAAATGCTGTTCATAAACTTGGAAAACTAAAAGCTTTTGGAAGAAATTTGTCAGCATTTTGCTTTTTGTTATGTCTCCACTTAGTAGTTCTGACCCAATGCATTTGTGGATATTTGTTATTGCCAATATGACTCGCGTTGCTAGATTGCTGACAAAGCCAGGTAAAAACTAAATATCAAATAAAGCATTTTTTAAGAAAAGCTCTTGTCTCTTTATAATAAATGAAGAAATAATTTTTAGCAGAAACGAAATCACTTAAGCTTTGTATTTTCATGCATAAGTTTAGTTCCTATAGATTTGTTTTACCAAATAATGTCTCTAAGCATTTCACTTGTTTCTATCTTTATCTGTCTCAGTCTCTTCCTTGCTTAAAAAAAAAAAATTCTCAACTTTGATCTTAAACCAGTTTCGTTAATCATATAATGATTGTAAAGTACAAATATAAACTGAATGTCCTTTTAATGCGTTTTTGTTTTAATTTAAAATTTCTTCCCGTGAGTCAAAATTGGTGTCTCTAATGTTGCAACACTGTTAAACTGTTAATTCCTTGTAATATTCACTTGGATATGTTAAACACCAACTGAATGAAAACTTTGAATAGGTTTACTATTTTCAATCAAAACATATTCTTAATCACTTCACATAATCAGGTCCTTTGCATGTCTTATAAACAAAGGATTGACCATTTTCTTTCATTATTTACTTTGCAAGGAAATTATTGGAAGCTTCTAATCGAAGCAAAACGGAATTGGTAAATAATGAGATATTGTTTCTTAGAATTCATTATAAAACTACAATACTTAACCTTGTTCGATCTCAATACAAAATATCTTTTAATATACTTAAAGTATATTCAAAACCAAACATTTTTTCCTTCATATATCTATTTGAATTATATTCTTGGAGATTTTTTAAAATGACTAAATTTCTAATTTTTTTTTTTTTTTTTTTTTTTTAAATAAATTAAAAAGAAAAAATTTGTATTTTATTGAAACAAAAGGTCCAACATCATATCCCTGCCCCCCCCCCAATCTATAATTGGTCATTGGAGATTTTTTTTTAATTTATTTTTATTATAAGAAAAGAAACAATAAAATTCATCATTTGTTTCTATATTTAGATAGATCTTTAATAACATTTATTTATCTATTTTTATTTTTTTTAATTGATATTGTTAGTAATATGGCTTTTAGATATAACGTTTTTCATTTATTTGACACCTCCACATATATTAATAATGCAGAAATATATAATAAATTTCATATATGTTTAGGAGAGAAATCATGAGACACGTACTTACCTATGTTAGATGGTGCTGCTGCTGATTCTTCTTAACACACACACACACATATATATATATATATATATATATATATATATATATATATATATATATATAATATAAATAATACCCTCCATCTCAGGATAAGTTGTTGATACCAAATATAAAAGCTTTCATGAAATAGACATTATCTTGTCTTTTGAAAAGATTCCACTCATTCTCTTTTTCTTTTTTTTTTTCCTATTAAGAAGGTAAAGCAAATTATTGTGCCCATTGGTTCTTGGGTTCCACACAAAGAAAATCTCCCATTGTTTTCTTTTAATTCTGTGATTTTTCAACTACAAAAGTATTTAAGGAATTATTACAATCTAAAATGACTGCAGTTGAGTTTGAGAATCTGAAGCCTTTCTTAAACTATTTTCTTCTTTTTCTTTAACATTTGCATGCAATTAAAAAAAAAAAATTGTATGTAAACTTTGTTTCTTCTCAGGCCAGTTTTTTTTTTTTTTCATATATATATTTTTTCTTTTTTGTTAAAAAAAAAAAAAAATCATTTATTTTCAAAAGAAAGTCTGTCAACTACAGAGAACTAAGACAGTGAAACTG